TTTAAAATCTAGGTTTGGAATGTTTAAATATGTGTGTTTTTTTCCAGTTTGAACTAATTTTTGAACTAGTTTTAGGATTAATTTGGGGTAGCTGAGTCAGTTTGCTGTCAGAGCAAACGTACAGTTCAGATATGTGTATCAGGTTCCTTAAATGTCTGAAATGTGTTCCATTTATTTTTATTTCATAGTTTTTTTGACTAGCTCCTGTGTTTAAAAAACATCTCCCTTTCTAAAGCTTAGTGTCAGTATGCTAGTTTTCAGCACGATTTATTTCATGAGGTTGTTGACTTTAATTACATTGTGGATACTCAGACACTGTTACTTAGTGGCTCAATTATATTTATTTCTTGGATCAGTTCCTAGGTATTACTTAGGACTAAATGAAAAAGTAAAAATAAAGTCTTGTTTTCTCATGTGCTGTAGAACTAGTTGTTCCAAAAAGCACTTGTTTATCATGTTGAGAAATCGCTTCCTAAGCCATAGACCACGTGGTGGTTGACTAACTTGCATCCTGAAACACAGGAGCAAGCTTGGAAAGGCTGTCCAGGTCGATGAGTTCAGTTATTTGATACTCTGGACAACCCAGCTTTGGAAATCCTGCTCTGTTGCAGAGCTAACGGGGTTCATCCCCTTCCTGCAGTGCTCAGTGACTGCTGAAGCATTCTTGGGATGGGCACTCAGTGAGAGGTACATTGGTATGGATTATGGCCCTAAAGACACAGGGGCTGGAAATGAGACTTCTCCTAATTATGAGGGCTTTGGGTTCTGAAACGGCTCCTGGAGGGGTACTGGGAACAAAACTTAATTGTTAGTCAATGCAGAGACAATGGACAATGCAGAGAAGGAGAGGCTTGGTGACTCCCACAGGCTATGGTGAAAAGTGTCATTTTGGAGGTGACTGCAAATCACCTTGCCTTGTTAGTCCTCATATACACCTTTTCCCATAGAAATTCTTGTTCCATGAACATGGGTGACCTGGGCCATACAGAGGCTTCTGCTGAGGTCTCACTGGTATCTTATCCAATCACACTAACAGGTGCCCATCTCTGCTAACACGTTTTCAGTAGACATCTCAGAATCAGTATTCTGTAACCACCTTCATGATTGTTGGTTCATAGCTGTTCCTTCTGTTTTGTGTTTACTTCCAGTTTATGAGCTCTTCATGTACAGCAGGATTCTTACTGCTGGTTCCCAGAGAAGATCTTGCCTTTGTGCTTTTGCATATTGTCCTGTTCCTGTTACTTCAGCTTTCAAGGCCATCCTTTTCCCCTGCATGAGCTCTATGGCCTTCTTTTCACTGCTGTTGCTTTCTTGCTTTGGGTTATCAGCAAACTTCCTCAACAAGTATTTCCTTTTTAAGTCAGTCATTTCCTGGACCACACACCAGCTGATTGGTCAGAGAATAGATGTGATGGGTCTTCTTTATTAACTTCCCAAGCCACTGATTCTGCAGCTGGTCATCCCCTCCATCTCACCTCTGCTGAGCTCAGTCCCTCAGGCTGTGCCTGTCCTTACTCAAGGTCTGGACCTACCAGCCCCCATGCTGAGCACTCACCAGGCATGGATCTCTGCTGAGCGAGGGAGCGCTCCTCTGTGTTGCTCCTTCCACAGTTCAGCATCCCAGCCTGGTGCACCACAAGTGCTCGTGGCTTGGGTGCAGGGAGGGCCAGAAGCCCAGTAGCCCAGTCCAGCAAGCACATGTTCTGGATTGTCTGACATGTTGCCCAGCACTTTTGTAGGCCTGGTGTGAGCAGTGAGGGTGCGCCTCAGGGGACTGGATTTGCATAAACCAGATCTTTGTCTCATAGGATTTGGGACTTTTGGAGGTTTCAGAGCTGCCTCCAAAAGCAGACAGCTTTGTCAGGTGAGCTTTTGATCAGACATAAGCCTGCTGTTAGGAGGGGGGAATCAGACAGCTGCAAAAGGAGCATGAAAGGGGATGGGAGAAGGCTCCTGGCCTCCTGCTCCCTGTGGAAGAACAGGTGCCCTGGCGAGCAGTGCAGCTTTAGTTAGAGAACAGCCAGGGAAGGATGGGGTGGAAGAGGGGGTGGTCTTGCTCCAAAGAAGAATTCTGGAGCTTGTCCTCAGACCTCTGCTCATTCACTGCTCCCGAGCACAGACAGGCAGCCTGGATGTGGCTGTGCCCCTACCAGCCCCTGGAGTCTGCTCTGGCTCTCTCCCTCTTGGCTCAGTTCCTTGAGGACATTCGTTTCCTGGCGGTGGGCAGAAGGTGTTTTTGACAGAGAAGGTGGTAGCCTGGGGGTGGATCGAGAGTGGGAGACAGAAGAGGGGAGGAGTCACTGATCAATGCTAATAAATAAAAGGCCCCTCTTCTTCAGTCCAGGGTCCAGGACGCCGGGAGAGCTGCCCCCTCAGACAAGAGCTGCAGGCTGGCAGAGAAGTGACGGCTGGTGAGTATGCAGGAACCGCCCTGCTTTTCCTGGACGGCTGCATGTTACTAATGCCTTGCTGGTGCTTCACAGCTGCAAAACGTTAGGAGCTGTTGTGTGCAACATTCTGATTCTCCACTCCAGCAGGAGACAGGTCAGAGGGCTGCTTTTCTATGGAGATTTCCTTGGCATTTGCAGGCAATTCATCTTTGCTTCCCTTTCTGTATTTCTAACCAGGGGATGCTGCTAGAAAGCAGGGGAGTTGGGCTCACTGTGTGCTACCTCTGGGGCAGCACACTAATGCTGGGGAGGGGAGATGAGTGCTGGAGAAGTATGGAGTGCAGGGACAGTGGAAAGGAGATGTACTTTTGCAGGGGCAAGTGATCCCTGAAGTTTTGTTGGTATAGAGCTGTATAGCTGATATGTTTATTCATCCCTTGGAAATTGCATTGCCTCTGTGGTAAGAAATGAAACATTTGGATTAAAGTGGTGTTTGTGGCTCATCTCTTGTGGCTGATGGCAAGGGATGCTCCAGACATTCTGAGATCAGAGTCCTCTGAAATGGACGCAGAATCTTCCAGGGAACAGAGGGGCTCTGTCCTGCACGAAGATAGTTAAGTAGAGTTTGTCTGGAAAGTCTGTTGGAGTTTCCTGCTGTTTAGCCTCACCTTCATTCCAAAGTACCCCCAGAATCTTCTTCTCTGTGTCCCACTGCTTTCCTGCTGGGCTCTCTCCTCCAGCATCTCCCTTCCAGCTTCTCTTTCTTGGCAGCTGCCATGAGCTTCCAGAGTGTACAAGACGTTCAGGAAACCTGTAAAACCCACATTCAATACTAACTCCAAAGCCATGGCCTTTAAAGAATGCAAACCATCCCAGAGCAGAGAATTCCCTTAAAGAGACCAGACTTGTAGGACATGGAGGGACAACAGAAAAGTCATAGTTCTCCTTGTGTCCATGGCAGACTTTGGGCTTTTGCCTGAGCACGATCTTGTTTTCCTCCTCATCTCAGACTGCACCAAACGGGCAGGACATGAGGACATTAATGGTGCAGGACTGAGCTGCTTTCTGCATAATGGTGGGATAATGGGTAAAGAAAAGCAGTTACTTTTCTTTGGTCTGAAGTTGAAGGTCCTCCTTAGTTTCTCTCCCAGAGAACATGAGCTTTTCTGAACTTGTAAAGCTCAGAGTAATCTTGTTCCACTGAAGTTTCACTTGCCACTGGGTAAGTCTTAGTCTCTGGCTAGCTGTCCCTGTAGTTCCTGGCTGTGTCACCTGCAGTGTGGGTCCCCAGAACACCACTCTGCAGGCAACAGCTGTGACAACACCACATTGGCTTGGGGGGAAATAGTCTGCACCCAGACTGCACTCAGTCTGTACCCTGTCAGTGAGAAATTCTGATGCCTGCATGTACACATGGGACAAAAGAAGCTGTCACAACCGCTTGGATCAGACAACAGTGGTGACTGTGCCTCATCCCCAGGCAGTGTGCATGGTCCCAGCCCCACCACTGCTATGGGGGAGGGCTGGCAGGCACTGGGTATCCACCTTCCCTCCCTGTCTTGCCTCTAGCAAACTACTCCCCTTTGCTTTTCACCAAGCAAGGATGCCCATCTCTGTAACTCCTTCCTTCTTTCACACCCTCCTATAGTAGCACAGAGCTGGAGAGGGGTATAACCCCATCTTTTGTTTGCTGCAGCTGACTGCCAAGCTCTTTAGGTGTTAGAAGGTGAGGTTATGCCACCAGAGACTGCTGGCCTGGGACATTCATCTCAGCTGGGAAAAAGCCCTACACTGACATCTGACTTCAGTGCCCAGTAGGGCAAGGACTGCTAGTGCTAGACCGGAGGGGCAGCTGTCCTGAGACACACAGTTGCATCTGCCTTCCCCAAGGTCTTGCCCCTTGGGCTGGAAGAACTGTGTAGGGTCAGGACCACAGTGAGGACTTGCAGAAATAGGGTTCTGGGTGCTGCTGTTATCACAGTGAAAAAATAATGACCCCTTCAGCAGAAGGGACTCTCCTAGGTTTGCTGCTGATCACTCCTGGAGCAGTGAAGTAGGAAAGGGAAAAGGGCAATAGGGTTGGATTCCTCCTCTGAGGACCAGCAGGCTGGGACTACAGCAGGGGCCAGCTGGAGGGAGAGGGGCTGAGTGAGAAGGGAGGGTTTGAAGCCTCATTCTCCATGTCTCTGTCAGCAAAGCTGACTGAACAGTCTGGGCTAGGTGTACCCAGAGAGAGGATGGTGAGGGCAAAGAGGGCAGATCAGAGGAAAAATTAGAAAGGCAAACATTTACATTTGGGATCAGCACACACCTCTCCTTCTGGGCCCCCAGCAGCCTCTGAAATTCCTTCCACTTGTGCAGGCCAACTTTTCTGAGTGTGGAGTGTTCATGACATACTTGCCTGTGCGTTACAGTCCCCAGCCCTGAACTGGGAGAGGAAGGGGGCATGGCCCCTCCTTCCCAAGACCTGATTCGATCTGCTAATAGAGGATGTTTTGTAAAGGCTCCATTAAGAGTGTGTAGCAGCCAGTCCTTGCCCTCCCCAGGCTCTTTCATGGCCCCCTCCTGGCTCTGTTTTCATAATAAACATTCCACTGCTAATTTTGCAGGCAGCACAGGATCTCCAGCTGCCCTCAGCGGGAAGAGTGAGACACGGCGAGAGAGACAGAGTGAGAGGTTCCTCCCTGCACTGGCACAATGCGCACTCTCCTCATCCTGACACTCCTGACTGTCTTGGTGGTGGCTGCTACCTGCTATGGTACGTGATCTTTTTTACTGGGTAGAGTGGTAACTCCAAACCTGCAGACATCTTTGGGTCTGTTCACTTGTTCTGCACTCAACTTAGTGTTGCATAACACGTCTTTAACTTTAACTTGATCTCTTGCCTGCTTTTCTGCCCTTGTGTCAGATCATCCTAGCCCTGTTTCAGAGCTGTCAGCTTCAGTCATTGTGATTTGTGGCCCAGGATAATTCAGCCACTTCCTCTCTGTTCCTGCTCACCTTGCAGGCTGCTGCTCCTCTTTCTGCCCCTCTGTTGTCTGGACTACAATAAGAATTCTTATTCCTAGTTCTTCCTTGTTAGCAGGGAGATTTCCCTTTCTCCATCATATCTGCCCCCTTTTCCTGTCAAGCACACACTCCCATACTGATGGAATTAAGATGTTGTTTCCTGCCAGAGTCAAGCACATCTCACTGTACTAATCCATTCCCTAAGCATACAAGCAGGCTTTGAAGGTAAGCAGGTATCTGTAGTGTGAGGAACATGAAGGTGAGGAATTGTACCTGAGAATCACACGCTGGAAGACCAAGCACAAGCCTTGAAGTCCTGGCTGAGACACCAGGTTGCTCCATTTTAAACTCCTGAACACTCTGAACTCCTCATATAAATGCTAGATCATGCCTTTCTCTTTAAGTAGGTGCATTAAAACCCAGTTTCTCTGATTTGTGTGTGCATGTTCTATTGATCTGTGGCTTATGAAAGACTGTGAATCCCATCAATATAGTGTCTTACCATGTTTTGCTCTTTCTTTCCCCAGAGTCCCATGAGAGCATGGAATCCCATGAGTATCTCAGTAAGAAACTGCTTTTCTATTTTCTTGAAGTGTGCTACAGACATTTCCTTGTTCTTTACTGTGGAGATTAAATAGGCAGAACCACTCAGCCCAGGGAAATTGAATTTAGAGGGTGATAGAATGGCAGGATGAATAGGAAGAGTCTGAAAAAAAGAAAACAAAACTTCACATGTCTGGGAAGAAGTGCATATGAATTTGTTTTACAAAGAATATAATGAGTCTTGGACAACAAAGAATCATGAACTTAGTGCCCTGTTGCATTCACTTAAAATGGTTAAGTGATACTAGAAAAGGACATTGCTCAGAAAGCTCTGTGATGAGCATTGAAGAAGGTAATGCAGAAGCTAGGGACATGATCTGTACTTCCCCAAGGATGGGGAGAGCCTTGCTCCCAGCACCTGGGAAGAAGCAAGTGGGATATGAGGGCAGGAGGGATCCTGGATCTGGAAGGTAGCGTGTCAGAGGAGAAGCATGAAAGGGCGGGTGGAGAGTCTCACCATGGAACAAGCAATAACCTTGAGAGATTATAGAACAGACAGTTTGAAACTATAAAGAAATTAGAACATCTAGGAGAAGGAATTAAAAAACCAGCTGGTCAGAAGCACAAAGGCACATGTGGGAGCTAACACCAAAGATATTCACACACTCATAAACTCTGCAATAGTACGGTGATGTTTCTCAAAAAGGACAGAAGGGACTTTCAGGTACCTCAGTCCAAATCTGCCAGACAGACAGTGACTGCTTAGCCTTGGCGGCAGAAGGACTTACTCAAGTCCTTCCTAATTTTGTTTATAACTTCACATTCCTACTAGTTATAATGAGCATGCCCAGATCTCCCAGGGTCTGCACAGCTTGGCACCTACTTCTTGGTCAAGCCTCACTGACTCTGAGTGGCTGTAGCAGCAAAATCACAGTAGCTTTACCCCAGATGGCTTGAGTAACAGCAGAGCTAGAGCAGCATGTGCACTTCCATATGGGCTGCACAAGTCAGAGGGAGAGCCCTTGTGTGAGCCCGTGGGGTGGACAGCAGGGAATATTAAAAGGTCTGGGTTTTACTGTGCCTGGGAGGGCAGACAAGGAGACTGCAACAAATATGGAAGCTGGCCTTGAAAAAGTGTCTATCCATTCTGAACACCCCCTTGTCTTCACAGATCCCTTCCTCAACAGGCGAAGGGCCAATGACTTCATACAAGCTGACACAAGACTACAAGGCATCTCTCGGGAGAGGTATGTTATGGCCTTAGGACACTGAGGATGGGAGTGGGGAAAGGTCTCCCCTTGCCAGGCACAGGGGAGAAAACCATGGTGACTTCTGAGAAGCCTCAGCCTCTCTCTCACTGTAAGGGGCCCATGAAGTCCGCAACCCTGGGCGAAGACAGAACTCAGGTGACAGAGAGTGAGTTCTTGTGTTTGAGGACATCATGAGCTGGGAAGGCTCTGCTTCATTTTTCTGAAGGGAACATCAACAGAAGGAGAGGGAATCAGCATGAGAAGGCCAGAAACGAAGCTCTGTTTGAGATCTTCTTCTATTCCTCAGCTCTACCGCAGAGTTTACATGACCTGCTCTGAATCACAGGGCTGTCTGGGGGCCTCCTTGTCTCATCCATAAGAAGCAGATATGGGCAGTCTCATGCCTCATGCAGGGCATCTGAAAATAAAGGCTGAAGCACAAAAGTTGTCTCCTAGCAAGGTGTCAAGGCAAACCTTCTCTGTAGTACCAGGTGACCCCTTTTCAGGATGTTTCAGGTCTTTGTTCCATGTGTAGCTTTGGGCAAGAGCAGAAGAGCTGAAGGCAGCAGACTGGGGGGCTGTGGAGGGAGGTCTCTTCCTCAGGCTGAGGCAGGAGCCTCTGGGTGCAGTGAACACAGAACCTGATCTGCTAACATCTTGCTCGCTGGATGATGGAATCTGGTGGTGAACCCTTAATCCTGTGGAGGACTGTGGGGCAGGATAAAGCCATAGACAGATATTTAAGATGACAGCACTTACCACTCACCTGTCCTACTTTTGCAGGATCAGGGAGCGCATTAAGGGACCCCAGGAACACCAGAGGGAGGCCTGTGAGAACTTCTACCCCTGCGAACTGTACGCTTTTCGCCATGGCTACGCTGCTGCTTACAAGCACTATTTTGGGAAGAGAAGAAATAAGTAAAGGATGCCCTGCCCCCACCCTGGGGCCTGGAGCCCAGGGTACCCTCCCCAGAAATGCAGTGGCTCTGAAACATACTCGGTTGCTTGTGTTCTTCTATGTTATCCTGCCTGCTGCTTCTCTCCCATGTAGCCATGGATTCCTACACTGTGTTAATTAGCGCTGAGCTGATGTAGCAGAGATCAGAGAGAGTTCAGGATGTGGGTGTTTACTACACAATAAATCGCTGGTTTGATACTATTTTCTTATGAGTCATTGTGTTTTGGGAGTGGGGGGGTTGCAATGTGCAATTTTCCAAGAAGCAGCTGAGTTTGTCCTAGAATCTCGTACAGATTATGGAAAACGTCACTACCTTCCAATCACGGTTTGAAAGACCTAAAATGCTTTTTGTTCCACGGTCTGCAAGTGGCTTCTTTTAGAAGTCACTGGCAAATCTAATTTCCCAGTCTGAAGACATTTTAAAATGGCATGGTGCTCAGAAAGCAAAGCAAGATGCACTTTTTGAAAATGAAATCTATAATATCTTTCCTCATTTGGGAAATAAAATTCAGAAGGAACCTATTTAATCTTGAAAACAAAGGTAGGGCAGGAGTTAAGTGACAGAAAAAGCCTATAAATTGCATCTTGCCTACCTTTAGGCAACTCTCAGGTCCTGATGTAGGGTGCTCCTGTAGAAAGTAGTGTGTGATCTGGACTTCACTCATATTTTTGGAATCCCCTTTCATGCCCTTTTTTCTACTTGCAATGATTTTGGTAGTGCCAGAAAGCTGCAGAAATCAAACGTGAAGGAGGGCTTCAGGTGGTAAATAAAAAAAAATAAAAGAAACTGAGTGCTTGGGGTTAAGCTCAACTTTATTTACCTAGAACAATTTTATTTTACTGTTCATAACTCATTTGAAATCAAGATGTGGCCTGACCCTGTGCACAGATTGCTGAGCACCTCCCAGCCCACTGAGGAGTAAGCATGACCGTCTTGTCACCAGCACCAGGTCACCTTGTAGAACCTGTCCCCAGGCCAAGAAGCATCAGTGCTGACATGCCCAACAATGCAATACTGCTCCAGGCTAGTCAGCAGCCACAGTAGCTCAGAGACCCCTTGGTGTGGGGTGTGTGGGAGACATAACATCTATCTCAGCTCAGCACATCTGGTTTCAATATTCACATCTGCAGGCTTCCACAGTCACCTGCAAATTATAGAAGTGGGAAAGATTCATGGCACACTATCAAAGGCAATGAGGTATAAATTATCAAATTGTTGACTATTCTGTGAAATTAAGTCTAGAGTTAAATCTACCTGCCACATTAGAAGCACACATCTTCTTGCAAAATATGCTTCAAGGCTTTGCCAGCTTTGAAGATGAACTTCTGGAAAGAAATTAGATTTATTTATTAAAAACACTTCTGATTGGAAACTCCACCCTGACAGCTGCTAAAGCTTTGTACAAAGGAAAAACTGAGAGATAAATGAGTTTAAGGAAAAGAAGCCATGCGGATTTGGTATATTTACACCCACACTTGCTCTGCATGTTCCCAGGTAGGTGAGTCTTATGATCATGAACCAGGGCAAAACTTTCATAACCTAAAGTCAACAAGTGTGCTGTGTCTGGGTTTGACTAGGCACTGTGACACTCCCAAAATGGAAGGCACAGAGCTAGTGCTGTCTGAGCCTCTGTCCAGAAATATCTGGTGATTCCAACCTTGGGTTTACCAGTAAAAATAATAATACCAGAGATTTATGTGGGATTTTGTCAGTGTAAGCAATAACCAAACATGTTTAAGAGACTACATGCTGATTAGAAAGCTTGGGAAAATTTGGGAAGAGAAGTAAAGCTGTTTGGATTACTAGAGTTGTGTATTTATATTGTTTAAAGTTTTCTTTTGGAAGCATAAATTTCCTAGAATACCTATTATTTGTTGATTTTTTTTTTTATTTTAGAACTGTTGCTTTTTAAGATACTGGATGCTAGAATTTTTTTATCTGCATATTCAATCTTTCCTGGACTGTAGAATAGTTTTAATTCCACCACCATGCCCCTTCCCCCCAAATCCTGAAATATCTCTAAGCTAAAATACAGTGTTTCTCGGGATCAGCAGAATTCCTAATGGCTCTGACTGTCCTTGGAAGCCTTGTAGGCTTTAATTCTGTAACCCTTGTATATCTCATCTGCATGGGGTGTCAAGGAGGACTAAACGTGAGGTGGAGGAAAATGTGAAAATGGGTTTGGGGAGTATGGTGTTATTGGCAGCTAGGCTGTGGAAGAGCCCATGAAGGACTCTTGACATACCAAGTAACCACAGCCGCTTAGGTCCTGAAGAATAAAACAGTTTTGGAGTTCCAAGGTTTATTTGATTTTTAGACAAGAAAAGCCAGACTAACAGCCTCTGTATTAGGAAGACTTCCAGGAAAAAAAAAAAAAAAAAAAAGGATTCTTCTCTGAACTAACCACCAAAGATCCCAATGGTATAAAAATCTCAGCTCTCCCAAGTGGTTTGGTCAAATTGTCTGAAGTGAAAATCTACTATGCGTTTGCCCTCTGCAAACTGTTTTGTGGATTTTTTTACCCTTCAGAGGAGTGAGCCAGGGTGGGGTGGGGGAAAAGGGTCACCTCTGGGTTCAGCTTAACTTGATTTTCCACATGAGAGAACTCCATCACACAAAAGAAGCTGCTCTGCTTCAGGGTGTGCTGGTCTCTCCCTTAGCTTTCCAGCAAGATGCTGAATGACTTTAATGTTTATAATAAAAGCTTTTATTTTTTGCCTTTTTTCTTTTTTTAATCCAGTTGTTTTTCTTCAACGGTCCCATTAAAAACCTCTGATAAAATCTTCTGGAAATGCCATGAGTCCTGAGATGGATGTCAAAATGGCTGCCAGGACCTGATAGCTCCTGGCTCGAAGGTTGGGTTTTGTTTTGGAGCTCAGACACGGGAACACCAGCCAGAGCCCCGATCCCTCCAGGCAATCACAGGATATAAACTGCTGCCCAAAAGCAAGCTCCAGAGAACTTCAGTAACCTCGAGGAAAGCTCTGAGGTTAGGGAGACCAGTGAAGCCAAAGAAGACATGAGGCATCTGTTGGCACTGCTGATGGTGACTCTGGCCCTGGCAACCCTCTGCTGTTGTGGAGAAGGTAAGGGGACATCTAGGGAAGGCTCCTGGGAGTGCTGCTCAACTCTGCAACTTGCAGTCAGCCTTCTGCCAGTCTAGGAAAGAGCTTCGGGGGGAGGAGGTGCATCTCTGGCCATGGCACAACTTCAGATCCCTTGAGACAGCCATAGATAAGGAAGGGCTTGGAGATAGAGACCCTCATCTCTTGCTGGGCACTTTCTTCCACCAGTCAATCCCCTCCTGCCCCCTCCTCGGTTGCACCATTGAATTGCAGCAGAGAATTCAAACATTTTGATATGTTTAAGGATTGAAATAGTTCAGCATTTAGGTGAACTGGCCAAGTTATTCTGCATGCTCAGTTTTGAGTGAGACGGTTGAGCTGCAGGCAGATTTGTGTTGGCCAGAGGGAGAGGGATTTTGTGCCTGCCAACCCTGGGGTGCTGTAGGATCATGGAGACAGGCACCGAGTCCAGCCTTCAACTGCAGGGAAGTGTGGGACGTGGAGAAATTATGGAAGAAAAAAGTTCCCTATTGGTGGTTAAAAAAACGGGAATTGTCCCATGGAAGTAAGAGCAGCTCACATTGAAGGTGACTTAGTGACAGTGCCTTCACAATGAAGAGACAGCAATGTAGTGGCAGCTCTATGGTTGATGAAGAGAGAGAGGAAGGGGAGGAAAGATCAGAAAAGCGTTTTCCCTTTATAGCAGGAAAAAAAGAAGCTGAGCAGGAGGGAACTCTCTTTTCCTGTATTATCTCACTCAGAGTTAAATTTCGCTCAGTCTTTGGTATCAGACACATCATGATTCAACGCTGGCAAATATATTTTGCTTGCTCATTTTTTTCATAGAATCATTAAGGTTGGAAGGGACCTTAAAGATCAAGTTCCAACCCCCTGCCATGAGCAGGGAACCCTACCACTAGATCAAGTTGCACAAAAATTTGTCCAACCTGGCCTTAAAAAACCTACAGGGATGGGGCATCAACAGCTTCCCTAGACAACCCATTCCAGTTCCTCACCACCCTGATAGTGAAGAATTTCTTCCTAATATGTAACCTAATTCTCCCCTCTCTCAGTTTAAAACCATTACCCCTTGTCCTATCATTATCTTCTCTGATGAAAAGCCCCTCCCCAGCTTTCCTGTAGCACCTTCAAGTACTGGAAGGTGCTATAAGGTCTCCCTGGAGCTTTCTCTTCTCTAGGCTGAACAACCCCAACTCTCTCAGCATCCCTTCATAGCAGAGGTACTCCAGGCCTTTGATCATCTTGGTGGCCCTTCTCTGGACCCTCTCCAAAAGGTCTATATCTTTCTTGTGCTGAGGGCACCAGAACTGTACACAGCACTCCTGGTGGGGTCTCACCAGAGCAGAGTAGAGGGGCAGAATCACCTACCTGGCCCTACTTTTTCCTTCTGTCAGTCTCTTGCTACTTTTTCACTCTTGCATATATAAATCTGCTTATTGGTGTTTTGTTTTGTTTTGTTTTGTTTTTTTCCCCCCAGTTGCTATTATGTTCCAGAATGTTTAATGGCCTTGGAGTAACTTATAATTTTTATTTATTTATTTTTAATTCAATGAATGTATACAGTGCTTAAAAACAGAAACATACACAACTCTTTTCACACCAAGTTTTTGTTCAAGTACAGTTGTTATTTTTTTCTGCCCTCAAGAGTCCTTTTTCTGCCCATAAATACACTTATGCCAAATACCTGGTGACTTGGGTGGAACTGACACTCCTTAAAAAAGGTATGGTGAAATAGTAGAAGAAAAAAATTGTGAAATAGGGCAGTGTGGGAGAGCCAAGATTAGGAGACCTTCCATTTCTCTTAGACAATGCTTTCCTTGGGTGTTTGCAAGGAGCAGTAAGGATTAAGATTAGAACTAAACACAGAAATACTGTGTGTAAATTCCTCTTGGGAGGACTGGTGAGCCAGGTACCTCAACCCTGAGCCATAAAGCTGTGAGAACAGAGTTGTTCCTAATTTTTTTTACTCTATTTCTCTTCCCTACCAATGGCTTGTGACTCCTCCCTAGCGTTAAGGAAATGTCTCTTCCCAAAAATAGAGATGCTCAGCTATCTTTAGGTTCTGTTCCAATTTGCTGTTTTGCTCAAATGGTCCCCTAGCTTAGCCTTCCTTGCTCTTCACAAGGGTGGGGAGGGAGAAGGAAGAAGGCCTTCCTCCAGCTTCCACAGTGGTTGTACGTTTATTTTGTCATTTAATCTGGCTCAGAGGAAGCTTAAATTAAACAAATCCTGGCATGATGGGTTAATTTTGCTGTGGTGGGAAAGTCTACCTTTAAATGGTGGGTGTTAATAGAACTCTTTCTGGGAGGAAGAGAGATCTTTTGGGAAAGTGGGGGGAGCCAGCAGGCAGAGGGATTCAGTTACAGAGTGGAGCAGAGGACTCACAAAGTAATTTCTGTCTGTCTGTCTTCCAGATCCCAAAGACCCCACAGGATCTCCCAGTGCTGACAGTGAGTAGTGTATCATTGTGACTGAAGCTCAGCACCATTCTCCTGCATCTACTCCCCTTCTTCTCTTTGAGAGGCTCGAGGGATGAACAAAAGCTGTTCTGAGTCCCTCCAGCTGCTCCCTTTTTTCTCCCTCAGTGGTTCAGTGGCTGAGGTGCAGGTCACCTGCAGTAAACAGAGGAGCTGCCTTTCAAAGCCATAGGGCCAGGAGACAGGAGGGAGATCATCCTCCCTGCACCAGCAGCCTAGCATTGCTCCGGGGTTGCTAGTGCCACAGCCTGCATATCCTCAACTCAGGCAAGACATACGTCCTGCAAGTTGTTAGCAGTGTAAATCAGGTTGATGTAGGTGGAGCAGCATGGTCAGTCTTCCCGCTTCTCCAAGCTGGCCTCAGAGATTAACCAAAGTGACTTCTGTGTCCCCAGTCTACTAAGAGAGCAGAACCTGCCCCTGGGCATTCAGGCACTGGTCTTTGGATTGGTTGAGTGGCAGTCTGGTAAGCAGGATCATAGAGCAGAAAGGTTTGGTGACATGCAGCAACAGGCTGTGACATCCCTGCCAAATCCCACAAGCTGTAGAGCCTGAAAATAGGTGCCTGCCTTAGCTACTACTGAGCTGCAGTCCCTCCTCTACCAGGTCACCTGGGACTTGGGGATTTGCACATCGTGGGATGTCCACAGCTTTTGCAGCAGGCTAATCCTGGCAGAAATCTGTATGGAAATTCCCCCTCATTCTTCTCCGTCTCTTTCTTCTCACACCTTAAAGGATAACATTGCTGCTGTGGAGCATGAAAGCTGGTATTTCTCCAGCAAGCCAGCACAAACACAGATTGGGAAAGAGAAAAAAAATTCCACAGAGTGTTCAGGGAAAGGTGATTTCTGACAGCTCATTCATTGGCAGTGTTTTGATCCAAACCAAACCCCAGCTTGCTTGAGAGGGGTCACGTGGCAAAGAGAAACACAATCAAACACCTCACAATGATGAGGGAAGGGCACAAAACCCACTCTCACCTCACAGGCAGAGGACATCTGCAGAAACACGTGCTGCTGTGCAGCTGCCTGTGCTGCTGGTGTGCCAGCATCTGTGCACACCTCGGCTGGTGTGGGTCCGCCCCATGGAGAAAGGCTGTGCTGTGCTGAGCCCTGAAGTGGCTCTGTCTGTTTTCTGTGGGGTGCTCCACAGCGCTGTGGGGTTTGCACAACCATGAATCTGAGAGGGCAAATAAACAACTGCACTGACACAGTGTGTTAGCGGGTATCAGAGGCCAATGCTATCACGGCAAAAAGACCTTTCATGTTCCTCAAGTCCTGAACCCCAAGGTCTTTACACCTCCTGGGTGTATTTCTCTCTGAGTGATGTTTACTGACATTATTTTATAACCTTCACCTTTCACGGAGCTCTGCACACACGAGCATTGACATTTCCATGTGCTGCCTGTTGCTTGTGGATCATTACAGGAATCTTTAAGGCCTGGTGGCTGGCATCCCACATTGTTCCCAGTTTGAGTAAAAATTTAGAAAGGAAGCTAAGACTCAGAAGTTAAGCAAGCTAGGAAGAGAGGGTGTTGTTCCCTTAATTTCCTCCTTACTTGTATTTTATGCTGCCATTACTGCCTTCTGCACATTTGCTGTGTGGTAAAAGGAATAGAATTTATGACAGTAAAGGTCCTTGCTCCACATAGATGTGCAGATCAGAGAAAGGAAGGAGCTCAGCTGTTGGGCTTTGAGTGGACTATGGGGTGGGTGGAGATGAATAGGCAACTAGGATAGGCTGTGAGAGTCATCTGCCTGTGAAGTAAGTATTGTCCCATTTCAGAGGTTAGAATGGTCTTTGTTTTGTGTTGGCCAGATTCCTACATCTTTAATCCACTGTGTTCTCTCTTGGTAGGCATCAAGATTAAAAAGGAAGTTGCCAATGCCTTTGTGAAGAGGCACAAGAGATCGAGCCTCTATGAATGGTAACTCAGGAGTCAGGCTGAGAGCTGGACTCTGGACCTGTTATGAGGAGTGGGTGGGAAGGCAACAGGACATGACAAGACATTAATTTGTAGTACATTTCTGTTATTACCTTCATGTGTAGAAGCAAAAAGTTTATAGGAGACACTCATTGATAGATAAATGTTTGTTTTTTTTAAAAAATATGCTTTTGAGACCTCATAGCTGGACCCTGTTATACATCCCAGGAAGCCAGTACTAGATATCTAGGCTAACCATGGGGACAGCAGCACACAAGTTGGAAGCTGCTCTAACCTGCAGGGTCATAAGAGCCGATTTCCAGGATAACAAGTGTCACAGAGCCTTGGTCATTGTCTTTGGCTACCTAGAAAGGAAGCACAGCCCTGTTGCAAGGATGAGGCTGGATCAGGTTGGCTGTTCTTTCTGAAGCTGTGCGGAAATCCTAGGCATGGAGATTTGGAGAAATCCTAAGCTATAAACATTTGGGGAAATTTGTGGTCATCTAAGTGGTCATTAATACATTAATGTATTTCCTGGAAGAATTTTTTAAGCCGTTATCTCATGTAGGACTGTGGCGAAAAGTATTTTTATTCAGTCTGTCTTTGGACTAGAAGGATAATGTTTTTAGATAATAGAAGATTGGGAGGCCTCATCTGTAGAAGAGAGGATCAGAGTATGTAGCAGAGGAACTGTTTGATGTTGAAACCTGCAGTGATTAAACACAAGAGGAAATTAGGCAGTAACAACTGTACTGACTGTACTGACTACTGGCTGCACACTTACAGGTGCATCATACAAGTAGCATCTGCTGCAAATGCTAATCAGTAAGGGCTGAGGTAGACAGACAGCTTGGTGTATTATTTGATTGTGAGGTAAAGTTAGTCTGGAAATATGGATGCAACAAATGGAATTCAAAGGTGCTGCAGGGTTTTTCCAATACACCAATCAAAATGAAATACTGGTAGGACGTCTCCTGTAGCAGGAAAGATTAACCAAGCCTGGAACAGGAGTTGAGCGCATCCAGAGTGTGGAGCTGAGACTAGAAGACTTGGGCTTGCTTAGCCTGACAAAACAAAAGCTGAGTGGGGATAGTATTGCTATCAACAACAGAAGTGAAGATGATGAAAAGAAGCTTGTTAAGCTAATGAAAAACAGTGGTTAACAGGAAAGTGAGCAGAAACTGGAGGCAAGTAAAGGTAAGCAGAAAATCATTAAATAAAATAGAAAATAAACAACAGAGTCCTGAGAGTTGGATAATGGGGTTGGGGACAAAAAAATTCCTACCTAACTGCTTCTCTGGTGTCCTTTGCTGATAAAATCTGAAGAGCAATTGCTTTAAGTTCAGTTCAATTCCAGCTTTTTCCAGCATTAATTAAGTAGTCCATACCTATGTAAGTAGATGTTTAACTCATCATGAGAAGCCTCCTGTTGGGGCACCTTGAGGAATCACCCTTCCCATGTTAGTATCATGAGTGTGAAACCTCACCAGCTACATAGACTGAATCTGCAGAACAGCATCTCTCTCTTTGTCTTCTCCAGGTATGCTGAGTATTACAAAAGTCCAATGGAGCAGATGCATGAGCGTTGTGAAAACTACCCTCCCTGTGACTATCTCTCTGACCAAATAGGATTTTCCATGGCTTACAACCGTTTCTTTGGGAGATACTAAGAATGGGATGGTCACTTCATTAATTTTGCTTGCGACCCAAGGAGAAAGAAGATTGTGAGTGGGAAGGAGGGATGAAAAATGTTTAGACAGGGGTCTTCTTCAGGACATCAAGGCAATAATTATCCCACTTGCTGAGCTTGCATTAGCTTTCTTTCTTTCATCAAAAATCTTTTTCTTCAGTTGTCTTTTGTTGTATTTTGAGCTTCACCAGAAGACTCTTGTCTAAGCTCCTTCCATTTGAATCCCCAGGACACAACATGAAAAAACTGTGGCTCTTTTCAGGAAAATCAATGTATGTCTTAGAAACATAACAAGATATTTTGTCTTCTGTAAAATGCATGAGGATTACAGAAGGAGAATGTCACAACATATATAAGTGTGATGGATCTGATCCTGGGATGCTCCCTGGGAAGAAGGCGGAATGGCTGCCTTCTTTTCAGGTAGAAGAAACACCCTGTGTTCCAGTATAGGATCATTTTGCAAAGACAGAAGTGTGGAAATACAGTGACATAGCCAGAAATCAGTTTTCTGATTATTCTGTCACAAAACTTGCCTTGTTATTTTTGTTACAGCTGGTTTCTGGTGAAACCAAGTATATCCAAGCAGAACAAAAAAATACTCTTTCACTCTCTGATGTTTTAGTATTTATGCTTGAAGGGAAAAAGTGTATAAACAGTTGCAAAAAAAAGCAAGCAAGCAAACAAGAAGCAATAAACTTTATGAAATAAACAAAAAGACAGAATTTGGTTTATTCAAGACCACTTTTATCTCTCTCATATGCATATATACATATTTAAAAATTGTGTGTATTTATATACATATCCTCTTCCCTCTGCACTACTTCATTCCCTTCTCTGGTATGAATATTATACCTTAGCAACTTTCTGCACAGCCTTCCTTGAAGTGCTCTGTTAGCTTCTCTTCCCTGAGAGGTAGATGTCAGATCCCATCTTCAAGGACAGAGACTGCTGACCCTCAGGAGACTGAGAAAGACTGAATCTCTCTGGTTGTCTGTAAGCTGGTGCAGCTATTCCCCACTGCTGCAATAAATACTGCTAATGTAAAGCAGGTTGGTGTGCTGCTTCTCTCTTTTCCTTTTTATCTGCAATTAGGGATGCCTAAAAGATAAAGCCTGTTCCTTTCCTATGAACCCTGAGGAGCAGGTTCCAGGTGTATGAGGCTTCCTTCTCCCTCCCCCTGTGTCCCAGAGTGAATCAGAAGTGACCACAGTGAAATTCAGATCACGATCCCAGTACACCATGATGGTGAGGGGCAGGTTTTCCTGATTCACCATCTACTGAGTTCAGCATTTCTCTGAAAGACCTTGCCCTGAAGTAAGGACACAGGATAAGTCCACAGAGATGGCTGCCAGTGTGAGCATCTCTTGTTTGACAAGCTGCTATGTCTTGCACCAGCTATGCTGATGTTGGCCAAGGAGAAGACAGTTAATAAGTACCTCTGTTTGTCGTGATCAAACACCTGAGACTGGTTTCCCCTTTGGCCAAACAAACGGGGCTTCGCTGCCCAAAGAAAAACTCTCCTCTGAACACCATCTGATAAAAATGAACAAAGTGCTTATTGAAAGCAGTGAAAATTTTCCTAGGAAAAATACTAGAGAGATTAGTGAAAGCTTAGTATCTGCTTTACTGAAAAATTAGGGGCTTTGTTATTGTATGGTTTTGTTTGCCAAAAACCAAAATCAAGCTTCTTGTCTATATTTGCATCTTTCTGCTAGTTTTGTACTTTTCTCTCCCTTTCAGTAAATATTATTTCTGGGAAGCTGCACACGAAGACCTTGATAATGTCATCTGCACTGTGTCACCAGTTCTCTGTTTGGGCTGAAGTCATTACGGCCTTCAGGGACTTGAGTGCACAATGAGATTACAGATTCACTGCTGGAATGTAGCAGCTCGATTTTCACCTAATCAATGCAGATTTAAGAACCATTGTAAGTCTTCTGCTGCCATCTTATGGACATTTATATTTCTCATAATGTGATAAATAATACACTACTTGCTTTTGAATCTTGAAAATGCAAATCCAGTGGGCTTTCTTCCTCACTCACTTCAAACGATAACACATTAAAGGTCCAGAAGGGAAAAAATAGAGACATAATCTGCAACTGCATTATATGGAGATGCATTGACAGCAACTCTGACACTCCAGTGGGGCTGTTAATCCTGATTGCCAAGTTCCCATTTGAGCTCATCCTAGTTTAGCTCCTTTTTATCTCTACCTGAACAGGGGACAGAAATGCCTCTGAATCAATTCACAACCCCTTTTCTGGACTCACTTTTAGCAGCTGAAGAACCTGTTTTCTGAAAAACAGCCTAAGATGATGGAGCAATTCCAAGAAGGAGAAGTAGACAGGCTACACTTACCACTTTGCATCATCCTTCATGTCATCATCCTGAGTCACCAGTGGCTGCCGACACTTTCAGCAGCATCTAGTGCAATGTTATAGATCACTTGGAAAGCAACCCATTATGAGACTTCACACAATCTCATCCTATTTCAGCAATATTAGGTAAATTCTCTCTGCCCACAGAATCCAAGAAGCTGCACAGACATCTCTTTTCTCAGGGTATCACACCATGATTCCAGTTGCCCCCTCCCCCCAGCCAGTCACTAGCAGACAATGGAAAACAGATTTCACTTCTCTGTAGTCAGAAAGAGGCCCTGACTCATTCTTTTGGTTCTTTTTCCATAAAGAAGACTTGTAAGAGGCTGTGGGGCTTCACACTTGGGTGGAATGGTGGCTGCAAAGCAGCTAGTAGAGAGGGATTAGTATCAGTATAGAATCTGTATTTACACACTCATTCTGAGCATTTTTTATCATAAACAGTTCAACAAGCTGCTACTCTGTAGTGGTGTAAGGGTAGGATTGGCAGCATGCTATTAGAAACCAGGGGGAGCTAAGGAGGAGAGGGACAGTTACATTATCTCTGCTTCCAGATGGGATTCCAACCTACTCTGCATTTCTGTGTTGGTGTTATCAGAGGTTTGCACTTCTTTAAAAGGGCTTTACAAGCTCATGATCAAGAAGTGCTCTCCACCTCATCCTGACATGGCACTCCTCAGGGGTAAACTGCCTTAGACTTCTTGAAACCTGAGTTTTCTTCCTTTTTGCAAGAACAAAACAGAATTATCAAGGTGAAGGATGCCTACACCAGCAGGAGTTGGTACAATTAGACCCTTCCCTAGGGGCACAATCTACCAGCAAATTTTGTTTGGTTTGATGAACAACTTCTGAATTGCTGCAAGAATCTGCTGAATGATCTTTAGTTGAAGAATTGTCACCAAAACCTGAGTGCAAATTACAAACTGCAGAATTTTCCTGTTCCAGAAAGAAGGGAATTAAACAGCTGTAAACGACCTCTACTTGAGCTCAATGTTCTTTACGGTGTCTCGAGTGGACCCTAGGATGACAGTGCTGCTGGCCACTCTTCTGTTACTGATCTTCTTGCAAAGGCCGGTAAGAGGGGGTAAAATACTTTTTTTAAAATTGAAATGTTGAAATTACTCATCCTACTGAAATAAACATTTTTTAATTTTTTTAATTTTTTTTTTAATTTAAAGTTGAAACATTATTTAGGGAGCTATGGGTTCAGCTTAAACTCTTCTGCTTTCAGTTGCTCTTCTCCATTACTTACTAGTCTTTATTACATTTAACTACTGTGCTGAAAATTCCCTCTCATTTGGAGCCAGATGGTTTTCCAGAGTGTGTTTGTGAGTAAATCCTATGAAATTGTTTCTCTCATTTTCCAGCCTGTCTCAGCCAAGGCTCTGACAAAAGCAGTGTATTGATGGATAGGACAGTGACAATATTGCTTTATTCCTTTTTTAGCTTTCCCTCAAAGCAATTATGGGATAATTGAAAATTAAACTGAATCCCTGTATAGTTTATGGGCCAGTATAACTTCAGCAACTAAGAAAGGTATAAATTGGGTCATCTGTCTAGGTTGAATATTTGAGATGAAGTGAGAATCACAGAATCACAGAATCTTAGGGGTTGGAAGGGACCTCAAAAGATCATCCAGTCCAACCCCTCTGCCAGAGCAGGGTCACCTAGAGCACATCACACAGGAACTTGTCCAGGTGGGTTTTGAATGTGTCCAGTGAAGGAAACTCCACAACCTCTCTGGGCAGCCTGTTCCAGTGCTCTGTCACTCTCACAATAAAAAAGTTTTTTTCTGATATTTACATGGAACCTCCTATGTTCCAGTTTGCACCCATTGCCCCTTGTCCTATCACTGGACATCACTGAAAAAAGCCTGGCTTCATCTTCCTGACACTCACCCTTAACATATTTGTAAACATCGATGAGGTCACCCCTCAGTCTCCTCTTCTCCAAGCTAAAGCAACCCAGCTCCCTCAGCCTTTCCTCATAAGGGAGATGTTCCACTCCCTTCATCATCTCTGTGGCTCTGTGCTGGACTTTTTCAAGCAGTTCCCTGTCTTTGAACTGAGGGGCCCAGAACTGGACACAATACTCCAGATGTAGCCTCACCAAGGCAGAACAGAGGGGGAGAAGAACCTCCCTTAACCTACTAACCACACCCTTTCTAATACACCCCAGGATACCATTGCCCTTCTTGGCTACAAGGGCACATTGCTAGCTCATGGTCATCCTTCTGTCCACCAGCACCCCCAGGTCCCTTTCTCCTACACTGCTCTCCAGCAGGTCAGCCCCCAACCTGTACTGGGACATGGGGTTGTTCTTCCCCAGATGCAAGACTCTACACTTGCCCTTGTTGAATTTCATCAAGTTTCTCCCTGCTCAACCCTCCAGCCTGTCCAGGTCTTGCTGAATGGCAGCACAGCCTTCTGGTGTGTCAGCCACTCCTCTCAGTTTAGCGTCATCAGCAAACTTGCTGAGGGCACACTCTGTTCCCTCACCCAGGTCATTGATGAAAATATTGAATAGTACTGGTTCCAGTACCGACCCCTGAGGGACTCCAGTAGTCACAGACCTCCAACCAGATTCTGTCCCATTGACCACAACTCTCTGACTTCTTCCTTTCAACCATTTCACAATCCCTCTCACTACCTGATCATCAAGACCACACTTCCTTGGTTTATCTACGAGGATGCTGTGGGAGACAGTGTCAAGTGCTTTACTGAAATCAAGATAGACCACATCTATTGCCCTACCATCATCTATCCACCTAATTTACTTGTAGAATTCAACTATCAACTGACTACAGTACTTGACTAGTCTACTAGGAGACCAAAAAGAGCAATGTCATAACTAAAACCATTTCTTAGTTCTTATTGCACAAGGGTTTTATTAATTAGAAATGGTAGAAACAGATAATGTCTTGCTTCATAGGCAAAATATATTAGAAGTTACTTTCATTTTATAGCACCTAACTGTATAAATTCTTACTTGTGTGTTTGATGTTTATTCCCATGACAAGTCCAGCTGGCCTCACTGAGCCTAACTGGATGAACGAAAGTTTTGGCACACTGCTACTATACTGTCCTTTGCTGAACATCATTATCTGGAGCCAGAACATGTCCTAGAGTTATGACAAGACAAGAAAAAAGAAATTAACTTCTGGGAGTGTTCAGGCTGCACTGTCCCTAGCACATTGTTTCACTTCCCTTTTCCTCTTCACAACCACTTATTAATAATGAAAGGAATATTGAAATCAATGGATCATGGGTCCAAGCTCCAGAGCCTTGCTCTCCTGAAGTTTTTAATGCCACTGATCCACATCAAATAAGAACTCTGGTGTCTCAGCTGACATTTGCCTTAGGTGAGGCTTGGACAATAACCTGAGGTTGCTCCAGAAGATCTTGTAAAAAATGCCTACCTGCTGTGCTTGCTCTGCCAATAATGGCAAAGAGGTAAGTAGAGGGTAGGGAAAAATTTGGCTTGCATACATCTGGAAACACACTCCTGATGCTAATCTTCATTTGGTTTTATGTTGCAGGCTGTGTCCCACCTCATGATGGATATGGCTCTGAATTCCTTTGATGACCAGTATCTGGGGTGCAGAGAGCAGGTGATGGAAGAACTGGAGCGAGGAGACTATTTCCAAAAGGAAATAGCTGCTAACAAGGACTACTTGAGTCTCTGGAAGGAGGCTCAGAAGGCTTTCTTAAAGAGCTCTGTAGGTCTCCTGAGGGAGATGCATGAGAGTCATGCCATAGTCCTCATGGCTTACACCATGAACTCTTCCCTGCACTCACAACTGAACTGGGCCACATCTACAGCAGGAAGCTCTCCAGAGCACTATAGACACAACTTCACTTTCAAATATTTTCACTTTTACCTAACAACTGCTATCCAGATAATGAAGGAATGGCAGAACAGCAAGGAGAACATGGGAAAACGTAAGTGCTACCAAGTGCACAGGGGGATCAAAGACTTATATATAGAGGCCACAGTAGGCAGCAGGGTGCGATTTGGCCGTTTCACCTCTACCTCTCGCCACCGGAACGAAGCCCAGAGGTTTGGGAATGAAACTCTTTTCACAGTGACCACTTGCCTGGGTGCAGCTGTTCAAGGCTTTTCTTATTACACGTCTGAGAAGGAAGTCCTCATTCCCCCTTATGAGATATTCCTTGTAAAAAGCTTCTTTCAGACACAGCATGGTAACCGTCTGCATCTGCATTCTGTGGGGAACTACAGCAAGTACCACTGCCAGCTCATGGAAGGTATTGTACATAGCTGTTCATGTAGGGGAGGCACAAGACAGGCTGGTCTCAAGTACTCCAAACAGCCTTCACCATCTGCACCTACATAGGGCACACTCAGGGCCAAATCTTTATCTTGGCCTCTATGTTCACCTACATGATGCAGTTTTCATGTGTTTGTCATGAAACCTGGGAGCACCTCATGTTTCAGTAGAGATGAAACCATCTGATACACATCAGGCCTCAGGGTTCTCTGCAGCCTCCATTTATCCCATCTGCCATTGAAGGATATGGTAGGACACAAGTACTTGGGTCCTCAACATTCCTCCTGCATGGGCAGATGAGATTTGCAGGCAGCTTGAATTCAGATACGTATTCTGGTGGCTTGCAAGGCTGCTACACTTCAAGCCTCAGGACAAAAATATTGCTGCTTTCGTCGTGTTCTCTCTCCTGTAGCAGAAGGGAAGAAAGGTATCCTTTGGCAAAGCACACACTGTGAGTATCTGGGCTACACAGATAACTATTCTGTGCTGGAAGACTTCACTGGGCCTGTTCCATAGCCCTGTCCTTCTGCGAGTCCATCACCAATACAGGACTCTTGCTTTTATCTTTCTGAAAAATAGTGTGTCAATGCAACCTTTCTGTACAAAATAATTCAGAATGAGAGGTTGTGCCTGGACCTAAGCCAGAGTAGGAAGCAGACTTGAGTAAAAGGTTCTTCTGGGCAAAGACTGTGTTAGAAAGTGCAGAAAGATTTAGGCAACCAAAAAAAGGTCTAAATGACCCCTCTTTTGACTTTCTTTCAGCTTCAAGAAACAAGACTGGTGGTTCCACTGCCCTTGCCTCTGCCATTCTTCTCAGTGTAGTTGGAGTTTTCCTGTGTTTGGCCTTTGATGACTGATTGTCTGCCTGCATCCAGAGATACACATTTGAATAGTGGCTAAGAAGAATTCACAGGAAGTCAGTCTCTGGAATTCCTATTGTTACAGAAGGTTCAGCCTTCCCTTTGTTTTCAGCTGCAGCTTTCCAGCTGAGACTGGAACAATCAACTAAGTTCGTCAAAACAGACATTCTCTGGACCCATTCAGGTAGGAGGGCAGTTACCTATGGCCACCCTGAAGAGCAGGGCAGTGACACCCTTCACCGTAGGCATTCAGGAAAGACACACATGGACTCTAGACTCTTTACAGTCCTCTTAGTACCTTTATTTTTTTGAGAGAATCTGTCTGTGGCATGCAAAAAGGCACCATGGTGCTGCAGTTGAACGAGTGAGTGTGCAGTTTTGCATGTCACTTTTGGGGGCAGGCTCCCAGGGAACATCCAGGTCTGTGACTGCTGCATAGCAGTCTTTCCCCACTGCATGACCCCATGCAACAAAGCCATAGCTCTTGTCTCCATCTGACTGCATCTCACACATGGGGGACAGAAACAGAAACCTGCCTGGAGACATGAACTTAGCAGCAGAGGATCGTGAGATGTGTCATGCCTGTCTTCAGCTTTCATGCTGAAGTAGAACAGTTCCTCTGAAAAACTCAGGTAGATCATGTGTTCATAACAGTCCTCTAGCAGCAGATGAACACATGTTGGTCATTTCATGCAGCAGTGAAGGGGAACATCATGAAGATGCCTGTCTTCATAGAGTGTTGGATGTGACTAACATTCATGTATGTGCCTTTCTATTTTGGTGGTCTGCAATGTGTAATGCTGGAGGTTGAATCAATATCACAAACTGGAATTGGAACTTCTGATTTAGCTATAGACTCCCCTCACTTCTATGTGTTCATTTAGCTCTTCCGGAGCCTTAAACACCCAAGCCAGAAGAGCTAGAAACTTCTCTCATCTCTAAAAAATAACAGTGTGGAAATTATAAGAAACATTTTCTGTTTGCAAGTCCCCTTTCCAATATGCTTTGCTTGCTTCTTTGCCCCTGGTCCGTCACCCCCACTGACATTAGCCCTGGGCTTGAGGCTACAGTCAGAGAAGTTATCTCACTGGTCCAAGGAGACTAGTCATGCTGATTTAACTTTGCAGTGGAGTAATCAGATAATTGAACTGAAACTCATGGATGCATTTCACAAATTATCCCAGCTTTCAGACACTGCTGATCTTTGCAGGAAGCTGGAGTTCTGTATACACCACCCCCAGCGCAAAACAGTAAGCAACAAGTTAGCTATCAAAATGACATCTGAATGTAGGAGCACTGCACAAGCTGCTGATAGCTGGTTAATCAAAAGTAAGGACAGACAAACACACCCATGTGAACTGCTTGACTCTCAGAGCAGCTCCAAACAAACTTGGTGATAGCATTCCCTTAGAAATTCTGTGGCAAGGAATCAGAACTTGGGCACTTAAGAAATATTAGCATTAGAAATGTAGGCACTTAAGGAATACAGATGTCTTCAGGTTTTAGCAGATTAAATGGAGGAGTTCGAGGCTCAGCATCTTGGGTATCATAATTAGGTGGCTGTAATGACAGAGGCCATGATCTAATAATCTAAAACGTAGTAACATGTTCTGTGAAACTGTACTACTGTCCCTGAAATCCTGAGACATGCTTGCCCAGACAGCTAAACCAGATTAATACAGGACTATTTTACTATGAGCTTGTTTTCTGTTCATATGTCATGTTACTTTCTTGTTGTTCTTTGTTTACTGATGATTTCAAATGAGTTGTCAGAACTTGATTTTGACCCCTAAATACTCAACGATACTAAACCCAGATTTCAAAAAAATAACGAAAATACTAGAAGCGGCTGCTGTGGATACCTCTTGTATGTGTTAAAACATCCTAAAACTCTTCCCTATGTAAGAATTACAGGAAACAAGATGGTTTTCTGACACATCAGCACATTTATGTCTCTCACTGTTTCTGTGTTATCACTGGGACACAGGATTCAACACTTTTAACAAAGGTTTCGAATTCTTCACAAGGTGGCTTCAGAACTCTGAAAGCCTCCTCTAAGTAGTCAGCTGCTATTTTCACACTACCCTTTAGAGATCCATGTCCTTGAAGGATACTCTGTAGAAAAAGAAGAATTGAAGAGGAGGCAGGTAGAGAGAGAAGCTCGAGCTGTTCTGATGTTCCACTCGAAGAAGAGTTGTCATCTGTGGTACTTGGTGTCTCATTTGGTTGCAGACTTTTCGCAATATCAGAATAGTCTATGAGAAGTTCTGATACTTGGAGGGATAACGCAGGTGAACTCATTAACTGATGAAGAGCAGACTCGATTGTGTCAGGGAAATTATCATGTTTCAATATCACTGCAATGAATACAACCATGAAGCTTTCTACAACCCCCTTGTAATTCTCATAAAGTTCCTTTGCTGCAGCGATCTTCTCCTGCAGGGAGGTGCTGGGACAAGCAACCTCAGCAGGCAAACCATGTTTGATGCTTCTCTGCATCTCTTTGTCTTTTCTTTCCACAGCTGCTTGCACCTCTTTCAAAGCACTGACCAGGAGCTGCAGATTCTCTTTAATGCTGAAGTTTTCTTTTACTGACATGGTGGGGAAGTTGGTGCCAAGATGCGCATTGAGGAGTCGGAAGGTTTTGTTGCTTGAGGAGACATACATGTACACCAAGTCATGCAGAGTCTGGCCAGCACTGACCAGCCTGTCTTCATCACTCTTAAAACCGAGGCGGGATAACATTTCTGGAGTGCTGACTCTGAAAAGCAAACAGGAAATCCAGAAGAAACATGAAAATAAAACTGGATACATTTTCACCCAAAACATTGCATTTCTGAAACCAGTTTTACAAATCATTAACCCACCTGATTCACTGTGACCCAAGACATTACAGTTGGAAAACACAGAAAAAGCTCTTTGTCAGCCTTTGCAGAGGTCTTACCAAGAAGACCAGAAAAATATGGCATAAGCAACTGCAAGTATTGTTACTCTTATGGCTGGAGGAAGTGACACTGACCTCCAGCATGCAATCTGAAAAGCAATGGAAGTGCTATAAGTGAATTATTCTTGCCCTTTGGTGCTCATTGGTAAATTTATGGGAGCCCTAGCAAACAATATACTTTACATCATCCTTAGAAAAATCAACACAGAATTAAACTCATATTCTGGAGAGGGAAGAACAGACACAGCAAAGTCAAATGCACCAGACCACTACATTCAAGAGACAAAGTGATGGAAGGGTGAGTAGTGCAATGTTTTGTTAGGCTACAGTTTCCTGTGAAGTGACCCATACCTATCGGTTCATACAGCAGCTAGAAGCTGCAAGAATGGCTTGGTAGATGAAGGCACAAAACACTCCTTGCTTGTGCTCCTGTCTTGTTACCATTCTGACTTCTACGGAAGTTACATACTGCTTGCACCTAAGAGTTCTCCCAAGGCCAACTGCAGGCACATTCCTGGGGCAGCACATGACTAAGGGACTGCTCCTGATGTTGTCTTTGTGCCAGAGCCCTGGGAAGGCAGACCAGTTGCAGCATGCATGTTTTTTCAGCTATTGCTTCGGCTAGATAGGCAGTTAGATGTGTCCAAGCAGTTGCAGCTTCCTATCTCACTTGATACTTTTAAAAGACTTTTCTCTCCATGCTCAGCTCAACCCTCTGCCTCTTCCTCCTTTCACTTCATATAGCAAAAGTGATCTGAAATTGTGTGAAATAGTAAAGTTGATTTTAGTCTCCACTGCAGTTCAGCCAGAGTTGGCTCTGGGGCTCCATATCACTTCTTCCACTCTCATGGCATCAGAAGAGAGGATCAGGCAACTTACAGCAAAGAAAGGTGACAGGCACTCTAGAGGAAGTCCTCCCCTCAAAATTAATAGGTCTGAAACTATTGCTATTAATCTTCCCTAAAGACCTAGAATAAAGCAGAAACAAAACTGTTTGCTTATTGTTTAAGTTCTTTTCTATCATGTTCCAAATGATAGAGACTCTGGAAGAAAAGAATTTGCAGCCATTGCAAACCATGAAGACCTGAAATCAGTTTTGAGCCTACAGAACGTGACACAGAGGCAGTTGCCAGACTGATCAATTCAATTTACTCCAATACTGGAAAGAGCATTTCAGGATTACATGACATTATCAGTTAATAGCAGAAGTCACAAATAATTTACATTGGAAGAAATGTAATAATTAAATTAAAATCATTAAAACATTTTCATTCTCAGCTCATCTTCTCATGCCAACAGCTCTGAAAACAATGGGAATTCAGTACTCTGGTTTTGGTTTGAAAACAATAGCTCAGCTTTCAGAGAAAAACAATCTGGCAACTGTAGAGTACTCGTTTTACAGTTGATCTTTTACTCTCATCTGAGAAATGAACCATTCCCTCCTGGAGAGGAATAATTCGTGACCAGAGCCTGGTGAGCCGAAGGTCCATCTTTCTAAGAAGCAGAGCATGAAAGATGTCTAGCTTGGATGAAGGCAGAAGTACAAGCTTGTCTTGCTGGGACAGACAAAGCCTGTGTTCACTGTCTGTGATTTATATTTGTCCATTTGTGTGGGACTGTTTAAATCTTTTTTCCATAATTTGCAGATGTACAAAACCCTGGCAACAAGTCATAATTTCAAGGAAAAGCTGCAAGTATTAGTGTTGTTTATACTTGTAAGGAATAGAATTTTTTATTACCTGTGAAAAAACTTAATCCTCTATCTGTATGACTGAAAAGCACTGTCCTACTTGTTTTCTAATCTGAAAACAGCAGGCAATACCATTCCCTTTCTGCCATGGTTGTAGGTACCTGTGATGGCACCTTCGTTGTAGGCTGAAGGCTTCATGCTGCACCTCTTCTCTCCAGAAACAGAAGGTGTTTGGAAGACTTAACAGTTGGGAACTAGCATAAAATAAACTGAAACCTTTTAAAATTGGAAGGAATGGGAAAGGAGAAAGAAAATGAGATGAATCTGGGTAAACGTCACACAGCAGAATTAATTACAAGCAGGCAGGCATCAGGACCCAGCTGAAGTCCAGCCTCTGGATTCCTAACTCATCACATGCTGCTGGAAACCACCAGAGAAACACAGAGGAAGGAGCATGTAGTCACTGCCCCACACACATTTCAGCTGATTGCAGGAGCCCTCAGACAAAAATCAGGTAAGCACTCTAGGTGTTTAATTGGAAATGCTTTTGGAGAAAATCTCCCTGGAGCTGAAAAAATAGTCAGAAATATGGAAATATTTGTGGCCTGCCTAATTCTAGAAAGCAAATGTAAGAGTTAGCAAAAGTGTTAATATGAAAAATGAGAGGTAATTTTAGCATTAGGAGACATAAAATCTAGAGTAGGAATCAGCAGGAAGCTGAAATAACAATTAATAACGAATAGATGCTAGAAGTTTCTTCCACACCTGTCTAGTGTGTAGAATGTATGTTGAAGTGCTATTCCTCTTAGAACATTTTGTCTCCTCAGTTTCTGCAAAAAAGGAAAAACAAACGACCTTTCAACAAAACATGACTGGAGTGGAAAGGATCTATTATCACATTAAGTCTGAGAGCAAGCCAGCAAGATGCCTGAGGCAGGACTCATATGAAATCAGACCTAAGCATTGACATAGCTTCATGTTTCCTGAAAATCACAAATCTTTCTTCTATATGTACTTTGTTCCCTCCAGCCTGAAGAAAAAGGAAGATGTGTTAAAGAGTTGGTTCTCTTGACAGAGCTACAAGGTAAGTGGCTGGAAGAAATGTACAGTACTGTGCAAAATATTGGGGAAAAAATTATCTTCAGACTGGTTTGTATTTCAACACTGAGACTAAAAGCTGGCTATGGGACTGTTAAAATAATTCTGTTTTTCTACAGTGATCCTGTGGGGGAGGGTGTGTTTAGTAAAATACAGCTGGGTCAGTGTCAGATGATTTGCAGTTAGCAGATACTGCAAGAACTACAAAGGACCACAATGACAGAAGGGTATAATTTATGAAGAAAAATCTAGCTACTCTCCTACACAAAACTATTTGTAGCTGTGACTGTGATATGTTGGCACCACAGCACAATGAGATTTATCTTGGAAAAATGTAAAGCACTGCATAAAAGTGACCCAGTTTTGCAGTAAGAGGGCTGAAAATGCAAAAGTACTAACAAAGAAAGAAGTCATCCTACTCATTCATATTGTGCCCCTGCAGCAAAGCAAGAAACATGCATTTAAGCCAAAATAATGCTAAAGTATTTTTACTTTGCAACTGGTGATGGGTTAAAAGTAAGTGGCACAGAGTTGGTTACAGAAGCTTAGTGATGAGGAGTAACTGTATGATCACCAGTAACTGTCACTCAGACTTGGCATATTAGCATGCAGGTGATGAAGAAAAATGTATTAAATACACCTGTTTGCTGGCAAGCCAGTGACAGCTCATTACAGCTTTATGGAGGTGAATAAACGGTGAGGGAAAAAGGGCTAAGTATCAGGGAAGAAAACACAGTGAGAGATGTGTTTAAGCTGAAACAGGTTAGGATGGGTTTAGCATATATAATTTTACTATTCTGTAAGAATTCCCAATGTGGTTTTATAAGTATAAACACAGCATGCTTAGATAGTAACATCTTCCCTTGAACGTGAGGAGAAACAAGCCACACTAGCAAAAACACTGTGTGGTGACACAGACTGTGCCCACTTCACCAGTCATCATAGTTGTTAAAAATCAGATGCCACTAAATGAGAAAAAAACCCAAAAACAAACAAAAAAATGGCTGATACAACAGTTTGTCTAGAACAGGCCTGTCATTTCCACAGCTTATTTTAGATTCTGCTGATTAGATTGTTCCATTTTTTTGTGAACTTGTGAACAGCTTCTCCTATCTTCAGTTTCCAAGGTGAAGAATGACCCATGTTCCTTTTACCAATCTTCTAATTACATATTTGTTAGCTATTTCTGGTGCTCTGGGTATGCCCAGTGTCTCATAAGGTTCTTTTCCAATCATTTGGCTAAAGATCCCAGAAAAGAATGAAGATTTCTATATTAATGAGCTATCCCTTGGGATTTGACTTGCTGAGCCTAAAAAGAACGAGTGAGACAAAGGACAATCCACTGCCCTTTAAGAGGTTATGGGTGTTGAATAGAGTAAGAGATTTCTTTTCTTTCTTGGAGCAGCCTATTTCTGCAGAATGGCACTGAGTGACCTCCTTTACCCAGACAACCCCAAGAGACGGCAAGAACTGATCCATCTGCACCAGGAATTGCTTGACTGCATGTCCACAAATTTCCATGCAACAAATGAGCTGGCTAGAGTGCTGAATGAACACCTGGGCTGTACCATTTCCTACATTCAGATGAGAAGGAGCAGCACTGTCAAGGAGAACTGTGACATTATCATTCAAGCAATGAGTGAGATTCAGCATCAGGTACAGAAGATTGACAGCGACATGAAGGAAAAGCTGGAGCCTGTGCTGTACCAGAAGCTGTATGACATCAAAGAGCCAGAGTTGGAGAAAATTGCAATAGCCCACAAAGTGTTTTCCATCGTTCTTGGAGAAGTGACCTCAACAGCGGGGATGGTAGCTGTCAAACTGCTTAGCTCCAATCTTATAACTCTCACTGTGACCAAGCTCGTCAGTCTCCTTGCGCAGATTGGGGCATCTGTTCTTGGAGGAGTCACCATCACCATCCTCGGGCTCGGCATTGAAATGATCCTCCATGCCATTCTGGGAGCCGTGGAGAGGAGCCAGCTTCTGACAGCTGTGACAAGCTATGAGAAGCAT